CCGATCGATTCATGTTGAGCAAGTAGGAGTGAGAAGAAGGCAGTTGAGTAACATTACTGAAAGTCGATGCGTATTTTTTGTTTTCGTGGTCGAGACTTGGTGGCGTTGCACATAGATATGTCACCTTGGTGTAGACACACGCGCGAGCCTGCCTCTCTATATTTGCTTTGGGCTCACCCTTAAACCTGTAACCCACCCATTTCGCGTATCTTTTGTTGCTGTTTCATTCTATATCTTGTTTAGGCCCGATGATGGCCTTTGGGGGGGGGAAGGGTTTGAAATGGGAGAAGGAAAAAGGGTGAGAGTGTTTCTGAGGACGGACTTTTGTTACTGGTTGATGTTGCATTTGTGCGAAACTGGCGTTGGTTTGTTTCCGCCCGTCGGGCTCGCAGTATCAGACGGGTCTCGAGTTTCCCCTGGGTACTTGGCATGCTACGAGTGCGTGTGTGCATTGCTTGGACAGGAGAGCGGAAGGAGAGAGTTTTGCCTAGCCATGAACGAAAATGGTAATGGTAATGGCTAACACAATTTCAGTTTCTTTCTCTAAACATCGAAGACTGGTGAAGCCGAAGCTGCATGGATGGGAAGAAGGGAAACGCACCGCGCTGCTCAGGTGTGTTTCCAGTCTTCGACCACGTGTCTGTGCAGACCTGTGGAAGGTGGCTGTCCTCCAAACCCCCACAGACTCCCCCCAACAACATGTGGCCCTCGATTCCAATTATCGCCCAGGAAGTGCTACTGGCGTGGCCAGGAACGGACGGGCGAGGTGGGCGGAGCATGCACCCGAACCGTGCACAGCATACCTTCGGTGACACAAGAAACCACACCCTCTGTAGACTTATTTTCTAGGTTCCACAGCCTAGTAGAAGAAAGAGTGGCGGGGCCGAAGATATGGCGGCGTTGGACCCGTCCTGTCGAGATCCTTCCGAAAGCATATCGTTTGATTTTGGCACCCTCTTCGTCGTGGAGTAGTCGACAGCTAGTAGCCGAGATTTGAAAATTGGTCCAGGGGGTGTGGTATCTTGTGTGGTCTACGGAGTGTAGTGTCAATTATCTATCTACACCGTAACAACAGAAACAACCAGATCTAGGAATGAGTGGGTGGGGGATGACTGTGTTCCTCGTGTGCAGCTCCTGTACCCTCTTGTATTTCATGTTAGAGTATCTTACAGCGGACAGCGACAGCACGACAGCGGGTCAGGCGTCAGGCGTCAGGCGGATCGGCGGGTCGGCGGAACGGCGAATCCGAATCCAACGCGGAACCATTTTTCGTACCGATTCGGCGGGTTTTTTCGTTTTTTCGGTCGGGTCACAATTACACCGCCGCTGTTGTACACGCTTCATGGACGCTCGGGCTTTGGGCAACGATACCAAGCTGAAAGCGTGTGTGAAGGAAATTTCCCACCGCCTTACCTCTTCACAACAACCCAATGAATGGCTGCAACAGTGGCTGGCGCAGTTCGATTCCCCATTTGATCTCTACAGCGCTATGTAGTTGAGTATCCACGTTCGGTACTCGATACGTATGTTTGCTACTTCGAAGTGTAGTACATCACGACCGGAAGAGAATCATCAACATCAATGACCTTTGTTCTCATTGCAGAACACACATCACACATCATTATTAACGAACCCCACAAGCAGGACACATTTATTTCAGCAAGCTGACTGCGGGAGCTTGCTGCATCGGCCCAAACATTATGGCAGCATCATAGCACGCGAGGGCGCGGAAGCAGAAACGACGACGCACGGTGTCTGCTTCTGCGTCTTCGGCTGTTGTGAAGGGTCGTTGTCCTGTTCTTGTCTCTCGACATCACCGACAACGATACATCACACAGAAGACCAAACAAGCAATGCACCCGTCGAATTCAGGAGATGATGACAAGGACGCAAACACCACAACTGCTGCCGCCGACGTCTCCGCGGCCACCGTGTCCTATCGAAATTGCTGCCCCTCCTCAAGCCACCTCTACCACCGTCTCAACATATGGCCCCTGCAGAACGTCAAGCTGCCTTCAACACAGGTGGACAGGTTTTTTGTTTGATTACAGGGATAGGACCGCTGCTTCAGGTGTTGTTGGTGTTGCTGTTGCTGCTGCTGCTGCTCCAAAGAAAAGCAAAGACCATGATTGACCTTGCTTGCGACCAAGAGATGAGATTTATGTACTCCTGGTTTCACTGGTAATTCCATAAGTGCGAGCGCTATCTGCAAACCATCCTGCCGCAGGATGGTTTTCCGGAAATGAGCCTTGCCCCAAGGGAGATGGTAGTTGTTAGAGGGACGTCACCACATCGCTGTGGTAGTCAGCCCCCCCCCGCTCCTCAAAAAAACTCTCTCGAACCAGGTCCAACCTAGTACGGGTAATTTCACAATAACGCCTGTTTACTCTTCTGAATCATGAAAAATCGACGTCTCGCACTTTTCTGGATCCCGCACACATACGTCTTTGTCATTCGTGTGCGGATATCTCTGTTCTCCGACAGCTCCAAAGGGTGGAAAAGGCGGTCCAGCGCCAGAGAACAAAAAAGGCGAACGCCGCTGCCGCGCTTGTGGAGCCCTCGCTGTTCTCTCCCTCCCACCACCTCGTCACCGACGAGGTACGGTGGGATGGGCGCGACGTGCGACGCAGCCAGGGAAAGGTTTCCACGTGCCCTCCGAAGTTCTTCGGTCGTGACAAAGAGTGAGTATGATAGATGAACCCCAATCAACTAAAGTTTAGAGGGTATAATCATATACTTGAAGCTTAGTGCTTCACACTAGCGTGAGACAGTGAACACGAAATTCCTGATGAATGTATGCACCAGCAACAGCTGATATTTTAGGAAAGAAGGCCCCCGTTATCTGCACTGCATGCTTTTTCGGCTGTGAACTTCCGTGCATGGCACAGCGTAAAGTTCGAACACGTACAAACTGATTAAGACGGAGTCTCTTGTCTGCTTACTCCGCACACAAGCCTTTTGGAATCGCAAGGGCACGACGTCGATATTTTTTCAGCATCGCGCATGTTTCTCGTTGGCACCGTTTCCGCCGGAGGCGGCGAGCAACAATGCTATTGGTCGTTGTGCAGCCAACAGTGACCACATCCAAACGTTTTCGGCGAGCGGTTGCCTGGGATCTCGCTGTTGACCGATTCTCGTCACCCATCTGTCCTAGTATGTTGTGGAAACTGGGCGGCTTGGGGAGGCTGAACAAAAAGAGTAGAAAAAAGTGGGGACGCCTGTCTCTCGAACAAGGGTGCATGTTGACAACAACAACAACAACAACAACAACAACAACAACAACAACAACAACAACAACAACAACAACAACAACAACAACAACAACAACCACAGCAACCACAATTCCTCTCATCCAGATTTGACGGAATGTCCAAGAAGAGTCTCATGGACACCACGAGGGCGGCGGTCTTGCTGAGGGCCGTGCGACAAGAGAAGGAGAGGGCCGGACTCTCCGCCTCCACGCCGGCCCGCTTCAACCACCGACCGCAGCAACACCAGCAGCGGCAAGGCGGGGACACTTTCGCCAGGACCAGTGTTAGCAGCGACGCCTCCACCAGTAGTGCGCCAAAACCTCCAGCCAACAGGTTGCAGCAGCTGGCCCCCCTCTTCCCCCCCGCGGGCGGACACGCCGCCGGACCGGAGACCCCTGCCCTCGCCTTCATCCCTGCGGCCCAGTTCGCAGCAGCAGCAGCAGCAGCAGCAGCAGCCGCAGGAGCAGACAGAGGGAGCAGCGGCAACGGCGTGCGTAGAAGCTCCGACCACATCGACCCGAGCAAGCGACACAACGTCAACTCGCCCCTCGTGCCAATCACGGGCGTCCTGAGGCCGATGGCGGGGGCCAGACGCAAGGGCGGTGGTGCTGTCGGCGGCGGCCGCGACGGCGGCGGCGGGGTGGGACCACCGAAACAAAGGAGGAGGAGGAGGACAAGTCCGGTGGTCTTAACGTCCGCGAGTGGGCGGGCGCTGATGGCGGCTACGGTGGAGGCTCTCGGACGAACGGCAGGCGGCGGCGACGATGATGATGGTTGCCGCAGCGGTGGAGGTGGCGGGAAGGGGCCCGCGGCACCGCTGTTGGACTGGAAGGGCCTGATCTACGGCGACGGGGGTGAGGGTGACGATGATGTCGGAGGCCCTGAGAGTCCGGAAGGCCCCAACGACAGGTGTGAAGTGTGTGCGTTCCTCTTGCTCCCTTGTGACGCAACGTGAGAGCGGGGGAATGGTACGCTAGTTTTTGACCGCTGACTGAACCGACCAAGACGAACATAACAAGACGACGGTCGCCCACTGGCGCGCCCCTTGTGGGGTGTGGGGTACGGGGCCAAGAGTGAGTGTGGCCAGTGGCCAGCTCGTGCACTTAGGGGAACGCGTGTGGGTGCGCGTGTCCGGTCCGTGCGTTGCTTGTGTTGAGCATCGGCAGTCACGGCAGCAGCCGGCTGATCAATGACAAAACGTCCCCCAAGTCTCTCCGAAAGAGGCAACAAAACGCTAGCCAAATCCAGTCCGTACAGCAGTCTTTGCATGTTACTGTTGTTATATTACGTTAGTTCGTACAATACAGCCAGGTTCTCTCTCTCTCTCTTTCTCTCTCTCTCTCTCTATCTATCTATCTATCTATCTATCTATATGTATATATATATTTCTCTCTCTCTCTCTATCTATCTATCTATCTCTCTATCTCTCTCTCTCTCTCTTTCTCTCCGCCCCCGTCCACCCCACCACACGCGTGCGCGTACCCGTGTCTCAGTGATTTGTGTACACAACTCCCACTAAGTCGTTGTGACACATCGAATAACTACTTCATCGCTCTACCTGCCCGTGTCCGTGATTGTACGATTTTTTTTAACTCGTCGCATTCGTGTTGCGATTTCCGTCCACTCGTGCGGCAGCCTTCACGCCGGGATAGGCCTTGCCGACCTCGAGAAAATCCACGTCGAGTTGACAGGTAGCGTTGTGTACTGTTGTTTCAAGGATGACTGTTTGAATCCCGTTTATTGGTTACCGTCGCATGCAGCCTTCGACAGCTAGCTGTTGGATAGCAGGCCATAGGATTTTGCTGCCCTTGTTAAAATGTAGCTCCGCAGGAGCCGCAGTGTGTTGTCCTTGCTTGCAGGAGTTGGGCATAGGAATGCAGCCAGCCCTCGTTTCCCGCCGATTATTGAAGTGCGTTCCGTTTTTCATCAAAACGCGTAGCGCGTGGTCCTCGTGAAAGAACGCGGCATGTCCTGGTAGCGACAGCCCTAAACGGCAAGAGCTACACCAACTGACTTTGACGACCTCGTTCTGCACCATGAGGCGTGCGTTCATCCGCTACATGTACGCCCACAAACAATCACGCAAGGTGGCTGACTAGGTTTTGCTATCTGTATTGCGTGTCGCGATATTTTGAGCGTGGAAGTCTGCCTACCTGGCTTTTCTCTCTCTCTCTCCCACCCTCATTAATAACATCCTCATCTCCACGGGGGGGGGGGGGGGCAACTAACACCGACCCCGTCAACAACGGCGTCCTGCCCAAACCATTAACATGGGTATTGCCCCGTGCTCAACGCCCCCACCACCAACGCCACCGACATGGACAAAAAAAGCTCTCCGGGAAAAGGCAGAACTCTCGATCCCCCGCAGCACCATCAGCCGAGGGAGGGTGGCCAAGGTCCGCATCGACGCCATCCTCCACGCGCTCGAAAGCGGGTGGTGGAGCGAGGAGGCGGGCCGAGGGAGTATGAGGATTTTTCGCGGAAGCTTTGGTGATTGTGCGGGCGCCTCCTCGACGCTGTCGGCGTCGATGACTCTATCGTCGTCGTCGTCCTCGTTGTCATCGCTCACCCTTGAGGAAGTGGAGGCGGTGATCGTCTACGTCGACAAGGATCAGTCCGGAGAGGTCGACGCCAGGGTACGTGCGTGGAGGGGGTAGCGGTGGACACACCACACACGGCAGGGTGGAAATAAATGTGCACCTGTGAGAATTATTGGTAGGTCGCTCGTCGCCCGGACGTCGGTTGCAAGCGGTGCTGCTCTCGATCCTCTTCTTGGTGGCGACGGAATCGTGTTGGTTTCAGTGTCACTTAACGACCCCCCTTCTCATCCAAATCCCTGCTCCAGGGTCGGGTATTCCTTATCCGGTCCTTCCAGACCAACCGACGCTGTTGCCCCGTGATCTCCACCCATACCTTTCCACAATGTCGAGATCAGGCTGCCTCGAAGGAGGCACACATCTACCAGTGGACTAGAGGTGCAAATGTTGTGCAATCACAACTTCTGCTTCTCAAAGTACATGTTATAGCTCATTCTCCCGAGGACAAGGACTCTTGGGATGCCCAAGATCCGGACGGGGGCGGGGCGGGGTGTAAGCGACGATGTGGAGTGTCGATGTGATTTTGTCGTTGTCGCCGCCACCACCGGCGTCGCCGTCGTCGTCGCGTTAAACTCTTTGTGCTGTTCTTGCGCGGTTTTCCCCTGATTTTTCGCGATTTTCCGAACAGGATTTCCAGGCGGCGATTAGCGCGGCCAAGCAGGGGAAGATACCTGACCAAGGTCTGGCGGGCTCCATCCGCAGGATCAACGACATGCTACGGCTGCATAACCTCAGGATCCGCGACGTTTTTCACGTGATGGTGAGGGGGAGAATGCCGGTCTGTTCGAAACCGTTTTCCATTCTCCCATCCTTGCTTCAACAGGAATGGCAAAGAGATAGATTCCTAAAGGCGTGACACTTATGGCATGCTGCAACTTAATATGCGGACTCCAGGACGTGTTCCACTTGATGGTGAGGGGGAAAAGCCCATCCGTTCACACAAGCAGTTGACAACACACCAACTTCAACAGGACGCTCAAAGCAAAAGCATACGCCGACGTTAATCCGTGGTGGTTGTGTGTGCGCGTCCTGCGCGCGCGTGGGTGGAACTAACGCCTCTCTACTGCTCGCAGGACTCCGACGGCAGCGGAAAGTTGTCGCATCGAGAGCTGGCCCAGGGGCTAAGCCTGCTGTACGAGCACGACAGGTACAATACGGCGGCAGGTAGTAACAGTAACCTCTGCAGCACCAACCTCCTGTTTCCGTCACAAACACGTTGATGGATCGATTTTCTTGACTTGCTTGCCCTTGTGGTTCGAAACACGAACGAGTCGAAACACGAAGTTGAGTACTTGTCGATGGATCACACTTTCTTCAATGCTGGCCAAGGGTTCTCAAGACGATGATGGTAGATTGCTGCTCCCACTGCTCCCCCCCAGCACCCCCCACGTTATTTTGAAAAGGGTTATTTTCGCCCCGCTCCCACCCCTCCTCTTGCACGAGCCTTACCTTCCACCGCTCTATCCTTTGGACTCGGTTGTTGTCGTTTGATGAAACCCCTAATGTGACCACGAGCACTATTGTATCCGTCTTGAAGGGTACAAACGAGGAGGCGCAAGGAACGATCAGGCCATATATTTATAGTGAACCTAACATATATCAGCAACAGCAACAGCATTAGCCACAACACATACAACGATTGCATTGCCGCACATTTAACTTAACCTCTACGTACGTCTCGGTTTCGGCCTTTGTCGCTACCAACTCTTTTCGCCAACGCAGCAGTCTTCTCTGTCGATTATGTTGTTGTCTCTGCGAAACGAAGCGTCACCGTCCCCAAAACACAAAGAACAATGATGTCCGCCGCTACAACCAGGGACAAAGTTATCGAGCGCCGACAGGCGCTACGGCGGCGGAAGGAGCAGCAGAAGTCCAAGGAGGACGGGAAGAGGGCCAAGGTCGCGGCCTTCCTGACCAGCATGGGCAGCCTCCAGGAGGAGTCCCTTCGGGTAGGCGTGGTGATGTTCGTGCTCCACGATACTCCCGTGCTGTTTCCTCGTATGCTACACAAGATGATGATGGTGTTGCCACCTCCGTCTTCTCTGGCTTTCTTGCTCCGCGTGCATGGGTCAGCGGTGCAGCTGACGGTCTTGCGATCTCTTCCCTTGTCTTTGTATGTTTTTAATATATGTACTCGTTGTTGTTCTGCTGTTCACGTCCGTTTGTTCTCCCGGCGTTGCTCTTCCGGGGCTTTGTCCATGACGGTCGTATTCCTTGCTATCATCGTGGCACTATCAATTGCGGCCACGGGCCGCGGAGACAAAAAACAAATGGACGACGACAGCGTTCGTTGTACACGCCACTGAAAAAACGAATCAACAGCAACAGTGAATCCTCTCACGAAGGACTTCTGTTCGAATAATCTGTTCGACCTCGATACCGCTTGTGGTGTCCCCAGGAGCGAGAATTCTTCGCCACCGAGGTCACCGATGAAGATCTTTTCCAGGATATTGTGCAACGCATCAGCAACGAGACCGGCTATGAGACCGATGACTACGAAACCGACGAAACCGACGAAACCGACGAAACCGACGAAACCGACGACGACGACGACGACGACGAAGACTGCGAAGGATCCTTTGACAGGCATCGCGCAGAGAAAACGAAGGAGAACAACAGAGCGAGACGCACCAGCATCTCCAGCAGTAGGGCCGGCGTGCGCAACGACAACGACGGCTTTGACGGACGTGCAGGCGGCTGCGATGGCAACAACAACAACAACAACAACAACAACTGCACAGATGACGGTCGTGACAAGCACGGCCTAGGTCACCCTCGCACCGCCTGCGATCACGGCAGCCCCGGCGACAACGGTGGCGCCGACGAGTGGCGGTGGGAGGAGGGCAAAAAGGGGCCGAAGAAGCAACGGAAGAAGAAAAAGGAGAGGAAGAAGCACGAGCAGATGATGCGGCCCGTCATCGCCTTCCGCGCACAAGACGTGACACTCGACCAACTCAGGCACGACGTGTCCGCTCGGAGAAAGGCGGCAGCCGCGGCGGAGGCGGCGGAGGCGGCGGCGACGGCAGCACGTGTAGCGGCAGAAAAGGCAGCAGCCGCGGAAGCGGCAGCGCGAGAACAAGAAGCGAGGGAAGAAGAGCTTCTTGGCACGCTGGATCAGCCGGTCGCGTTTGGGGAAGAAGAAGACCATGTCGGTGTCGTCGGTGTTGATGTTGATGGTGTTGTTGGCGGGGACGGTGAGGCGAAGGTGCCATCGGTGGCGGCAGAAGGAGGGGCTGGGCCGAGGGTGTTGGCAGGACATGTCGACGACGACGACGAGGCCGGGGGGAGCGCTGAAGGGAGCAGAACGTACCCCAGCGACGCCACAGGTTTCGAGAACTACAGCGGTGGGCCTGCGGCCCCCTCCTCAAGCAGCCTTGGTGAGGCTGATGCCGTGGTAGGTGCTGGTGCATCCGAGGGTAGTGATGGCATCGGGGATAGCGGCGCACGGCCCACGGCCGCTTCCTCAAGGGGCGTTGGTAGCAAGGCTGATGCCGGCGGGGCTCGTGCAATCGAGGATGGTGATAGCAACGACGCCGAGGCTATGGTCGCAGGGCCGACGGCACCCTCCTCCAGCGGAGTAGGTGAGACTGATGCCGGCGGGGCTGGCACAACCAATGCTAGCAGTGAAAGGGGCGGCGCTGTGGGGGATGTCGGCGTTGGAGTTGGTCGTGGTGGTGGCGGAGGCTTGGTTGGGGTATCGTTCCCGATAGTGATGCGTATCTGCGGCGAGGACAACAGAGAATCAGGGGAAGCTGCGGGTGGACTCGGTCGAGCGAGAACGAACGTTGCTGGGAAAACCCGGGACCGCCACCACGTTGCCAACAGCCGCGTTACTGGCAGCAGCAGCAGCAGCAGCAGCAGCAGCAGCAGCAGCAAGCAAGCAGACAACAACAAGAGCATCAACAGCACCAAACAGGCGAGAGCGAATGGTGACAAGGTCCGTAGCAAGAAACGGCCCTCGTTCGTAGGCAAGACCACCGAGAAATCCGCCGAGACGACCAAACGAAGAGCGCTAGCGGGAGAGTCGTTCCCTCCAGCTGAGCCGACGACGACACACGCGGGAAAAACGGTAGGCTGGTCGTCTGGGGCTTCTGCTGGAGCGCAGGGTGGGCCGGGGACGGGGGGGGGGAGAACAACGAGGGCAACGTTTCGGCAGCCACGCTTGGTGGGAGAGGACGTCGTGGAGAGGCAAAAGACGTACGCGCTGAACGACCCTTACCTCAGGTGTGATGATGATCCGCGCATTTCCGAGTACAGATACGCGACAATATGCGTCTGGGGTATGAGGACGGTCGACCCGTTGCAATACGTTCAATGGTGCCGCGGTTGCCCTGATGTTGTCTTTCACGTGAGTGCTCGACCAAACCGGCATGTATATTGTCATGAATACGTACAGCCGTACACACACACGTAGGCATGCTGCGTGGTGCGTACGGCCTGCTCGCGATGTGGTCGGCGGCCCTCTAGCGTGGTGTTTCTTGCAAGCAACCCAACCCACCAACACGAATTGTGCGCAAGCGCGTTCTTTTCCCCCTTGCATGCCGCTTACCGTTCTCCAGTCGCACCTTTGCATACGTTCGAGCACACCCATGAATGCTTTGAGCATCACAAGTCAAGATTACCGCACATACTCTCCTCCTTTGTCGTCGTCGATTCGATCCTTCGCTGGATGTCCCGTCTCCGTAAAAGGTCTTACCTGCAGAGGCGTTTCGAGAGCGAGCGGCTGCCGCTGCTCTTCGCCGCGCGATCGTCGGGCACCGCCGTGCTCCGGTACACGGTCACCGACCCCATCCAAATGGCCAAGAAACAGGCCGGTTGCCTACCACCTCTGACCTAGAGGCAGAAGAGCAAATGGGGAGAAGGAGACGGGGAGGGAGGAAAGGCGGAGTCGCATGATTCGCACTCACTCAGTTCTTCTGTATTGTTGATACTATGTACTTCGTAGTCAAATTCGATCATCGTCGGATGTATAGACTACGCATCCCTTTCGAGCAGGGGCGCCATCGGGGCGATGCCCTTTGATAGTTTTGTTTCTGTCAGCATGCTCGCGGCCGCGGACGTCACCAATATGTGTCGACGTCGAACACTCTACTTAGTGTTATGTTCCGCCGACCAGGCGGGGGGCGGGGGGCGGGGGGCGGGGGGCGAGGTACCTTGAAAACACTACGAACAAGTATTTGGTTTGCCTTCCCTTCCCCAGAACACACAAAGGTATGTGGTTTACCTTCCCTGCGTCGGAGTTAAGCTGGACCACCCTTCGTTTCCCGGAGTCTCTCATCATTCGTAATTGGTGCGGGACGAAGAGGAGAGTGGGTGGTGGGTGTAGGAGGTTACAACGCTCGATACCCGTTTTGCCTTCAGTTGTTGCGTATCCTCGTCTGTATCTTGGCTGCTTTGACGTGACGGAACGGGGGGCGGAACATTTATTAAGCGCTTCGACATCTTGAGATACTGTAGTAGATGTTTAGGAGGGTGGGACTCTATAGCTGAGTGCAGCATGCATACGTAGGGCCTTACGTTATTTGTTGTCCGATAAACGGGCTGCGGGGGGCGTTGAAGGCTGGGAGAAGTATCGACGGTGATACAAGATTGGTTGAGACATTGTAGTAAGAGCAACGAAAGAGGGCAACAACGAATGACCGGTGGGGCGATTGCCTCTGGTCCATCGCTCCTCTGCGCTTCGTGTGATAGTTCTACTGCAGCAGGTGCGCGGCATGAAGGAAATGCCAATGCAATGAAGACCACATGATTTTTCTCTTTTTTTTTTTGCGATTTCGCGATAAATCTAGTATACCGAGAGCGAATAAATACCGTCTCTTTCCATTCCTCTTCTCTTGCCACGAGGTTCACGACCCCCGAGCAACGCCAAAGACGCAAGGGGGCAGCAAGTGGTGCGGAAAGCGAAATTCCCCAATGACTGACTCAAACAAGGAATGACTCTGTCCCTCAGAGAGAGAGAGTGCGCGCTTCATGGAAGAAGGCGCACCAAGTTTGTGTCAGGGGAGCAGGGCGGGGGGCACAGCAAGAAGCGCTCTGTGACGGGGTTTATACGTCGGGTGGCCCAGCGCATGGTGTGGTGCGTGAGGAGAAAAAGCAGCTTGGCCCAGGCGGGCGGAAATCCCAAAACCTTGCATTATTATTGTAACACCAACCGAAGCAAGCGGCTCATCTCTCCTGCCGCAGGCCTGACGTGGCAACGCACCAGACCCCTTCCCTTACAAACGAATCTAAGGGAATCGCAGAAACCGTGTACGGGTAGCTTCCAGGTGGTGCTATGAGTTCATTATTAATCTATCCCACACTCTTTACCTGTGAAGGAGCTGAATTTGTTGTGTCATAAGTACTAAATTTTACACGTTTCTGTCACATGACATCACAAAAACATTTCGTCAGTTCTGGACTGAGAACCCAACTTGCAACTGCAAAAAAGAAAAGAGTGTTCGACAACCAACAACGTGCACCAGGGAATCTAAGCAGAAACGGAAGAAAATTCAAGCCCAAAAAAGGAAACGATCGTACGACCGCTGACAGTCTCCGTACGTGTCGGCCCAGTATCCATCCATTATGCTATGCTAGTGGGAGTGAGCTTATCCGACGCGCTCTTGGGTACCGCGACATGGGGGCGTTGATTGGTCTGGCTTCGGTACGACACGGACGAAGGCATGACAGACAACCGTTCCTCTAGCCGCAAGGCAACGCATCAAACGCACACCAAGCGAACAAACAGGGGACGGTATGAATTTCCCCGTCAGCCTAGAAACAACAACAGAACCTGCTCCTCAATGTTTTACGATTCACGACCAAAAATCATGACGTCATGATACACAACTTCAAGGAGAAGAACAAACGGGGAAAGAGACGACACGTGGCAGAGACACTTCTCGTGACCCAACAGACAAAACTGACACTTAAAACTTTCCATTTACGCCTTAGATAAAATAACGCGGCACGCATGAAAAAATTATGGGAAAGAACAAAACCAACTCTTCGTTCAATTCAACACTGACTGGAGCTTCAAAGTAGACGGCAAAAAAATGAAACAAAAAAATTGAACTTACGCGTGAGTCTTTTCGGATATCCACTAAAAAGCAGAGGTTTGAACACCTACCCACGAAGACCTTACGTTGCACCTACGCTCAAGCCATAAAATACCACAAATAGTAAGTACATTAAACACATGATTCAGGGCTTCTGCCACTGAAACGCCCCGCCATACGCACAGCGACCGGAGACATAATCAGAAGGTTTGCCTTCCTGTAAGCTACAGCCCTTGCATGATCGGCCGCAGACTCCCGAAGAGCCCACGACAAGAGCAAAATATGAGACCCAAAAATACACTGGTTTACGCCCCCCTTGAGCGATAGCCCTGCGTGATCGGGTACAAAGCTCACGACGAGAAAACAATGACACACCCTGATAGTAGTAGCGGCCACGTCTCTCCTGTTATTGCTCAATTCCCTCCGCTTGCCTACCGCTCTCTCGTACAACCGAAACCGAGCGCTCAAGGAAAAACGCGCTTCAGCAACCCGTGGGACTCGTTCGGTCAAAACGCTCGACACCTTTTGCCGCAGCAGAGCAGACCGGCCGGCTGCGGCACCCATCGTAACGCGCCGCCCGTCCACGACCAGCGCGAGGAGGCTTGTCTTCTTCCCCTTCCACCTAGCAAGCGCTCTCCGCGCATCACGCCCACCCGGTCGGCCTCAAATCAACGGAGTCCCGGCCCGTGCGTCTTTTCGCTTGTACACGCGGCGCACTCGAACCCTTCGTGTGCTCACAACGCCGAGAAGCTACTGTACAGCCCGGCGAGAACCCGGCGTGCTCCGTCCCGGCCTCGTACTTGTAGGGATGCGAGGTCGATGGTCTAACGACTACGGCATGCACGGCTACGAGTACGCCACCCACCCACCCCTCACCCCCCCCCACCCCCTTCCGCTCATTCCTGAGCCGAGCCCGTAGCAGCGTCGTCGCCGTACATCCACATCTCCGCGGCGGTGGATTCCCTTTCAAGCTTGTCGCCGTCGCCGCCGCCACTGCTTGTACTGCGCGGGTCCCTTACCGGCCGCCCCCCCGCCCCTCCGTTGCCGGCTAACGCCGCGGCGGGGGAGGTAGCGATTACGCCGCCGCCGCCGCCGCCGGATACTGCGGCCCCCCCGGAAGCCGACACTCTGGGAGAGTCAAGCGTGACGTCGAAGAAGGCTGCTGCCTGCGCGGTCGTCTCTTCGCCGACCCCTTCGTCCTCCATATCTCCTATCGCCAGGCTATTCGGCGCGATACGTTTGACGTTGCAACCCCAGGGGTGGGTAGTCATGGGCGGGCGGGGGGGGGGGGGGGGTAAGGGGAGGGCAGTGCTCACGTTAGTGTCTATTTCTGAGCTGCGTGTGTGCTCAATATCTGTTGTACTTGTACGGTGCTAGCCGGTTGGTCAGCTGCTTGAACAAACCGACAAGTCGAAGCACACGTGTTTCGTCCCTGGCTGGTAACACATGTAACTGCCCACGGCTGTCTGTGTACTGTTCCACGAAAAGCCACGGTGAACAACAAACATCAACCCTCATCGTGGGCGCGTGTTCCGCCTGCTTGAGAATTTCGATTCTTGGGAGAATGTTGTATGTTCGTGCAACAAACACAAGGGCAAAGGAAGCCGCGCAAACAACACCAACGCTAACAACAACAAATACGACGACAATATGATAACTGACCTGCCGCGGCGAGTCAATCCAAAGGAAAAGACGGTAAGACCGAGTACGCGACGTACCTCCATGTCTACCCTCCAATAACCATGGCAGCAACATAGACTTAACACGGGCGTAATTTCCACCTACGTGGTGACCGAAAGCACGGAACTAATTGTCTCACAAATAGTCCAGCCGTGAGGGTGAAGAGAAGGCGTGTCGCTATCGTTGGTAGGTAATGCTACTCCGTATCAGAAGGACATACCTGTGGGCGACGACCGGCTGCCCGGGAGCCGACCCTGTCTTCTCCCAGCCCTCCCCCCCCTGCGAACCGCCGAACCCGCGACCGCTTCGGCCCTTCGAAACGCCGTCAAAGGCAGGGTCGACCTGCCAGTTGGACGTGTCTTCGAACGGCTCCTTGTCCTGCGTGCGTTTTGTTTTTCAACACACAAGGTGTTTGATTTCGTGCTGTGTGCATCGTTCTTATGAAGACAGCAAACACTTCGAGCGGGTATGACGATTCTAACGCGAGAAGTTGGAGGACGGGAAGGGTGTGGGGGGGGAGGGGGGGGGGGGGGGGGGGG